GACCTGCTCTATTTGAAAAATGTCCTGAGATAACTTTTGCTATTAATCGTGCTATACAAATAAAACTGAATTGAATTGAATTGATCAATTGATCCGTCAGATCTGACATGTTTTTCTATCACGGAGTATCTGTGATCTTTATATTCTATTTTTCTTCTGTATGTGCTGTTTTATTTCACTACCAGTGCTGAGCATGTTCAACCTTCTGCTCCTCAGTGAGTCTAGGTTCAGGTTTAGGTTCAGGTGTGTTACCTGGTGAAGACCTCCAGTGGGGCGGTGGAGCCCCCTCCAGGCAGAGACGAAGCTTTTCCAAACTGCAGCCTAAGAGGGTGTTTACCCTGCAGCTTGACGATGACGCCGTCGTTCACTGGGAGCCACTCCATACTGGGAACCAGCAGCTGACTGGGCAACAGGCAGCACTCGTCTATCAGACTCTCATCAGGGTCCTGGGGGGGGCCGTCATCCCGGGCTGAGACACAGTCAGTGACAAAGAATGGGGGAGATACATTAACTCAACACTCTCTGTTCTGTCATTGTCAAGTGTTGGTAGTGCTGATCACACTGAGGATCAACAGGACAGGAGCCAAATCTTCCTCCAGGCCCTATAATCAGGACCATTAACAGTAAACCTCAACATACAGCAGAGCCACAGCTTGGTGAGCAGTCTGAACAGCAGCTGCATGCTGTCCTGGTTGTCTGACGTGGCGGTGAAGGTGGGCAGACAGCCAGGCTTCAGCAGACCCCAGATCCTGATCATCACCAACATCTCCCTCAGCATCCCCAGGGACGCCCCGTCCCTCATGAAGCCGAACCCTGGCCGGACCATGGAGCCCTGCAGGAACAGAGAACACCACCTCAGGTCTTCTTATTAGGACCCCAGTGTCTGTCAGGAGACAGGACTGGGTGGTTGCAGTTGTGTGAACCTTTATTATTATTTTATCCAGCAATGAGGGTTAGATATTTTTTAAGTCTATCAGTAATATTTCTGACTGATGAAGTGGAGACTGCTGGCTGGAGTTTAGTTCCTGGGTTCTAGTCTTCTCTGCTGGGTCACTGTCAGATGGTTCTAGGTATGTTTTTGGTTCAAGATGGTTTCCTTTTTGTGGCTGTTTCGTATCACAGTGAATTCTGTCTCTTTGTGGTCATTTTATCTTGAAGAAACGTTGATGACTAGTTCTCTCATTACCTGAACTTATCACTGTGTTCTCGTTGGCTCACCTGGTTGGGAAGGTTGGCCAGCAGGTAGAGGACAAAGTCTCCCACCCACTGGATGAGCTGCTGCAGGGACTGAAGGGGGGGGCCGTCCAACACAAACTCCTCCGTCTTCAGATTGATCATCACCTTATCAATATCTGAGGAAACACAGTGATCCACCACTGATCATCACCTGTTGATATCTGATGCCCTGTGCCTCCTGTACTCCCTCAGGTAACTCACCTGTGTCAGAGTTCTTGGCACAGATCTCAGTCAGGCGGTCACCTGGACTCTTGTCAGGTGTGTTGAGGACGTGTGGCCTCAGCAGAGACTTTAAGGTGGAGCTGATGGCGATCAGCAGTAGTTTGGCGTGAAAGTCGCAGGCTCGAGCTGCCGTCGCCGTGGAGAGTTTGCAGAGAGATGCCTTCACCGCCACAATACGGGTCGCCAGAACCTGAGACAGACATTACTCGGCTTAAAGAGGCATCATAAGAAGTGTAGTTTACTGCTGTTGTTCCTGAGAACAGGAAACTATAAAGGCTGTTAAACATTTAAATGTTAAAGGGAAACTCTGGTCTGATCTACTGCCTTCTCGCCATTCTCCCATCATGCCTTGCTGACCTGTTGCAACGCCTGGTTCTGCCTCATGTACTCTTCATGCAGCTTCTCCACCAGGTTGTGGACCATGGTGGGCTGCACGTGCAGCAGGACGTCCCACCAGTCGTAACCTGTCACCATGCAGTACTCCAACAGGAACAGCAGGTGGCGCAGCGTTGTGTTCATCTCCAGGACCTGACCCATAGAGGGCGACACTCGCAGCATGTGGAGCTGAAACAACAACAAAAATTCGTTTTAAGCAGCTAACAGAAAACTAGGGATGCACGATATATCGTAATATCTATAGTGTATTAATATCTTCTTACTGGTATTATACTATAGTGTATTATAATCGTATCTATAGTGTAATTAATACCTATCTAATGTGTATTAACTATCGATATCTATATGTATTAACTATCTATTAATAGTGTATTAATTCCTATCTATATGTTATTTAATATCTGATAGTGAATTTAATACCATCTATAGTGTATAATATCTATAGTGTCATAATATCTATAGTGTTTAATATCTGTGTAGTGTAATAATATCTATTAGTGTTATTAATACTTCTATAGTGGTATTAATTCTATAGTGTATTAATACCTCTGTCTATATATAATGTCACCTCGATACTGTAAAATTTTTTAGCTGTATAGTTATCAGTGTACTTCACCCCACTCTGTTCATTCCGTTAAATTCCTGCTAGTATATGCAATATATATTCTGTAAGTTACTTTTTAATATAATCCCGTGGTACCATATGCAACAATACTCTGCACTCTAATGCTGTGACACTCTCTAGTTAGAGCAACTGGCATTGTGTTGTCAGGTACGTACTTTGTGCAACTGACAAACAGAGTAATCTAATCTAATCTCACAGGAATCTAATTACAGAATCAATCTAATCTACACAATCAACTACAGCAATCACAGTAAATAATCAACAGCACCTAATCTAAACTACAGTAATCTAATCTGAACTCAGTACACACAATAATCAAGCTACAGAACAGTCAAACAGAAAACAAATCTAACTAACTACACAATCAACAACTGAATCTACACAACTAACACAGTAAGTGAATCTAATCTAATACACCAGATCTAATCTACAGCAACTCAATCTAACGCTAATCTACAGTAATCTAACAATCTAGAGAGAGCTTCTGGGGCTGTGAAGGTGTTAAAGCTCATCTCTCTATCAGCAGGCAGGGGGCAGCTCCACTCTGGATAGTATTGGATAGGGGATGCCGATATTGGCTTTTCTGCCGAATCCGATATTCCGATAGTTCCAACCTCAATTTCCGATACGATATCAGCCCAGATACCGAATATGCAGGCTTTACACCAAAACGTTAGTAACAACATAACATATCTCCTATATGGAATTACACACATTAGCCTCATTTAGTTGTGATGCAACCCACTGGATGCATACATACAAGCAACATGGCGCCTGCCAAATGTAACACTAGTCAACTCAACTTTCATTGACTGTAATACTGAAAAGAGCGCAACGCTAATTGCTCTAGCTATGCGCTAAATGCTAAGCTAAGCGCAGCTCGATAATGTTTTGTGTTAATATCTAAAAGCATTCAGCTGTAAAGTTGTGCGTTAGCTACGGTAGCAACCAAGCCAGTCAATAGCGTGTAGTTGTTGTTGTTATAGCATCTAGCGCGCGCCGGTAAGAAGTCCCTGCTGCGTCATGCAGGCCGGAAAGCTGAAGCCACAGAACAAACACGGGAAAAAACGCCGAATACGAAACCCGAAATTAATACACCTGAACCGATAACTCACAAATATACAAGGCCGAATAAAAAACATCAGGAGGGGCGATACATCCCTAGTATGAGACTTATGGAGAGAATAGAGCTCCAGTAAACAAGTCTCAGCCTAGTTTCAGCTTCTTCCATAACAGCGGCAGTGCATTAGTAAACTGGATGGTCCCATTTAGAGCAACAGAAAAAAAACAAAAAAAAAACCAAAATAAAAGCAGGGTATGCTTTAGGGCGGGGCTACCTTGGCTGATTGACAGCTCATTCTCAGTGAGCTCCGTCCAGCCAACGACACCAAAACAGATCAACAATCGCTGTACGTGATCTCTGGCGGTGGCGGCTCAGGAACTCCACGGAACCAATGGAGGACGATGGGTTCACCAGTTGGTTGGTAGATAGTTCGGGTAGTTGGGCATGATAGACAGCGGTGCAGGCGGTCCTACCTAACGAAGGCGAACCGGTACCTGCCTCAAGGGAAGGAGTTGAAGTTGCAAGCCTCCTGCATTGAGCTCCCTTCAGGCTGCGGAGTTCAGTCTGACCTGCAGGCAGAGACGAAGACCTTGCAACCAGCCATGATCTGATAACACAAAACAAAGGCACCCCACACACCAAGATATAAAAATAAAAGGTTAGCTGTCGCGTGTTACGGTGTACGGGAGGAGAGCAAACTGAGGGAGGAAGGTTAAGAAGGAGCCAGTGAATGTGAGTGAACCAGTGTGTAGGTAAGAACGAAAGACCCCACAGTTACACCACACCGCACAAAAGTCAGGACAATCAAGGTGAGGATTTCCAATAAAGCATTACTCCGATGTGAGTAGGTGCACCTGTCGGTGGTCTGTGTGTGTCTGGTCTGTGTGTGGAGTGTGGGAGGTCGTGTGCGCGGGTGAGTCTGTGTGAGGTGCGATCTGTGGTGAGTGTGTATGTCCTGGTGGTGAGTGTGTGTTACACGAAGGGCAGCGGGCCAGCGAAAGGGCGAAGGCTCAGGCCAGCATCAGCAGGCGAGCAGCCCGCCCTCCGTCCCACATAGCATACTGAGCCTCCGCTCGGCAGCGGAAACCAACCTGGAGGCCGGCTGCACCACGTCGGTCAGCTCCAGGAAGTACAGAGACACCATAGAAGAAGCCACAATGGGCAGCTGCACACACACAGTCACACAGTGAACACACCTGTCACACGCCTGTCACACTGTCACACACACCTGG